TAAAGCAGAATCAAGCACTTTCCTAGGTAGTTGAGGCACCAGGAGTGAGCTCACCCTGGTGAGGCTTCCCTATTACTTTTTCAGCGGGAAAAGGAGTTTGTGCACCTCTGGCCGTTCCTCCAGCGTGGTCCCCAGAGGCCGGTGAGCGCCATGTCGGGAGGGGTAGGGGACTGTGGGCAGATCTCCTCCTCTGGCTCCCGCCCTTGTTCCCAGCCGCATGCCAGCACAGCACGCAGGCAGCGGAGGTGCGGCCAGGCAGGGCTCTGGGCTAGGTGGGAACCAGCTTGGATGTGCCAAAGGCGGGCCTGCAGAGTGACAGGACTTACTAGGGTAGCGATAGTAGAATTCGTTGTCAACGTCGCTGGAAATGTTCCTGGACCTCTTATCCTCGATCCAGTGGGCGTCGGCATCGGGGCTGTAGCGCACGAACACACCGAAGAGGACCACCAAGGCCGCCTGCAGGAGCAGGCAGGCGAGCGGCAGCCGCCAGCGGAGGTTGGTGTTCCAGACCATGCTGCAGGGGACGCCTGGCCGGGAGGGCTGCGGTGGGTCCCAACGCTCGAGGCGGGAGAGGCTTATAAGACCCGGGCAGGGGCGGGGCAGCGACAGCGAGTGGCACAACAGCTGACCCAGGTGCCGCCCCGCACATTTAACCCAACCCGCGAGGGAACCCGCGGCCCCAGCTCGCCTTCCACCTGGGGCCCCGAGACTCCCGCGCTGGGAAGGGGGACAGCGGTGGGGGCCGAGTGGGCAGCGCGCAGGGGCTCGGGCGCCCGGATCTGTGCGGAGCCCAGGCATCCTGGGCAGCACTGCCTTGCCCCTTTTGTTTCGGTGAACGGAGAAGAAAAAGCTAGATCATTTGCCTCCCACCGAGATTAAAATCAAAAAACAAAAACGAAGCAATTCCCAGACGCAAATCGCCATCGTCGTCATCCTGGGCCCCTTCTCTGATTACAAAATTCATACAGGGTACATGCAAAAGCAGAAAAATTTGAGAAATTGCCACAGATCAGAGACGCCTGAAGAGATGTGACCACTCAATGCGAGGTGGTCCCCAGATTGTGTCCTGGAGCGGAGGAAGATGTTAGTGAGAAAACCGGTGAAATGCAAATCAAGTGTGAAGTTTAGTTAACAGCGGTGTACCCACCCACGCCGGTTTCCTAGTGGTGAACAATGTACCCTGATTATGTACGATATTAACAGTAGACTGGGCGAGGGACATACAGGGGCTCTGTCCGATCTGTGCAACTTTTCTGTGAATCTCAAATAATTCCCAAAGAAAAGCGTATTAAGGAAAAAGTTATATAGAAGATTGTAACAACAGTTTAAGAGTTTTTCACAAGTTTCTTGAGCTGTGATCAGGAATCTTCTAGTGGTTCATATGTGTGTTGTTGACAGGAGTTGACTACAGAATTCCGTTCAATCTATGCTCAGTCCGTATTTTGTCAAAATACATTGGATTTTCTAATGTTTCTTGAGACAAAGGTAATACAGATGCATTGTAGAGATTTAGGGGGAAAAAAACCAGAAAAATACAAAGAAGAAACCAAGAACCACCTGTAATCCCACCACCTAAACACAATACAAATAAGAGAAAGAGAAATTTATGCTATAATACTGACTTAATAGCCCGCTTTATTCATTTAATATTTTGTGAACATCTTCCCATATTCTTCTACAATACCATTTTTTAAAAGGTGCCTTTATTTATTTATTTATTTATTTATTTTTAAGGAGGGCGCAGCTCACAGTGGCCCATGTGGGGATCGAACAGGCATCCTTTGGTGTTCTCAGCACCACGCTCTAACCAACTGAGCTAACTAGCCATCCCTACATATCATTTTTTTAATGGCAGCCGACACCATGCTTTATCTAGTCCATCCCCTAGTATTGGACAGTGAGGTTATTTTTTTATTTGTTTGGTATTATAAATAATGCTATCATGAACATCCAGGGATGCATAAGTCTTTGCACAGGTTTCAGTGAATTCCTAAAGGCAGAATTGTTTTGATACGTATCGTTAGGTTTCCCCCAAACAAAGCATGCGCCTCCTGACCCAGGTGTGATAGTGGTACCCTTGCACCCTCACCAATGCTGGATTTGAAAAACAATCATTGCCGGTTTAAATTGCACATTTGTGGGCTGGCCGAGTGGCGCGTTAGTTAAAAGCTGGCTTGGGACGCCAGCTCTGAGCAGCAGGGACCCAGTTCGGATCCCACATGGTGGCCAGTGACACTGCCCTCTACAGCTAAGATGGTGAACAACAGCTCAACCTGG